ATAGGACGGAGTCGAAGTAGCTGAGGTACGCCTGGTAATTATCAAGTGCAACATCGCACTGCGGCAAGGGTCATCAATTAAACGTACTCGCCCGAGAGAACGAGGTTTTTTTTCAGTGATTTTTTGAATGATTGTTTTGACCGCATATAAAACTAGAATGAAGAGGAGCAGACAGACAGAGACGAGCCTGCCGGCTCGAGGACTCCGGATGAAGCCTCGGGCAATGATCCCTTAATTCTCTATTCACTTTTCTTGTAATCTCATCTGTAATAGTGGCATTTACTCTCCTGATGCTTGTTCATTGTATCATCACGCCTTTTCTAATAAAGCTTATTAAAAAGGTGTTGTTATCCACAGTGAGGTCAGTTGGAATGACTATTCAATTCAAAGAACTCGCACTTACGGACCTTACAATAGCCAGGCGAGGTGTTAAGATTTCATGCGAATTGACAAGGTGGACAACAGATGGGTATACGACAAATTCAACGCCTCGAACGTTCCGTTATGGAAGTTTCTCACCACGAATGATGAGTGTGCCATCACTCAACTGCCTCACGTCCGTCTTCTTTGACTTTGTTTCCCACAAGACGATTATGTGGTAGTTAATGCGCCCTGCAGCTTCGAGAAAAGGATGGAGATCGGGTTGCTGAGTGCAGAGCTTGAGACAATCTTCATGGCGAGTGGTTGGCGTGCTTTTGGTCCGAAATCCATGGCGTCCTGTGCAACTTGATACTGGTCTTGATGAAATTCGACGCTGGAGATGTGATCTAATGTGCAGGGCTTCTCTTTCTATCGCATGCTGTACAGGCAGTAAATCCTCAAACTTAGCATCTTTGCCAGGGCCTGCCAAGCTTTCGATACAGGCAATCGCTGACCTATGTGGGTACCAACTAGCGACTTAATCAGCCACAGTAGGGCTCTGGTATGGCCTACTCTTAACTGGGCTGGGGAGCCGGAAACGTCGAACTCCTTCTTGGGAGACGAAGAAAAGAAGTTGGAGGATAAACCTCAGCTGTACTTTGCAGTTCGACACCTAGAGTCATCCCTGCGCCACGATGATGTAGACAGACCTCGGCGGCGTTTCCCGGAGAGCATTCTAGAATTCTTTTTGTGAGAAAACTAAACGAAAAATTGCATAGGGTTTGAGGTGGGGTCTTGAGTTCAATATCAGTTATGACTGCTCTCTCAACGAGAAGAATGTTGAAGCTTCTCTACCTTCCGTTATGGGAATGTTCAGGCCTAAGTATTGTTGTCTTTAATTCCGTACACACTCTGTGTCCGTCCAGTAACATGCTCTAGTACGGATTCGATGTTTGTTTCAACGCGAACGTTTGCACGGGAAGTTTAAACGTATTTTACAATTTTATGTGAGGTTCTAAGCGAATAGGCAATGAACAATTACCAAAATTGGCAGCGTAAAGATGCGAAACAAAGAGAGCAAAAGGAGTTTTTGAAATTTTCTTGAAAAATCATGATTAAGAAATCGCTTACCTCTTTTTC